ATGGGCCGAGTGAATCCGGACGAGAAAGTATGCCGGGTGAGTGCAGAGAAGGTGGCAAACTATGGCGAAGACAACGGGAGCATAGGAGTGAGAAACGTACAGCCCTCCCATTCCTTAGTGGAAATAGGCGGGGGAAGATGCGATATGGGGGTTTTGGAGTAGGGTGAATACGTTAGTAATGTTAGTTTTAGTAGTAGATTAGTAGAATAGGAGAAGAAAGAGAAGTTGGTGCGAGGAGCTATGGAGGAGACGAGAAGAAGAGGGAGGAAGAGTGTGTAGAATGGTCAGTTGGGTATGAAATTAGTCGGGGAGCGGGGCGTTCCTACTGTTTTAGGAGTAGGCGAATCGGATTTTGAAGTCAGAATCGAAGGAAGGTTAGTAGATGAGCGGGTAGAAATGAAACAGGCAGCGTGGAGATGGCGGGAAGTATGAAGGAGGGAGAGTAGGAAAATGCCTACCTCCCTCGTTTCTGAGCGGTTTCGAACGAAGGGGAGCTCAATTCTGGGTTTTTTTGACTCTACGAAACAATCTATGGAGTTAGATTTGAGGATAAATGTTTAGTTTAGGCGGGGTGGTGGAACAAGGCTGCGCGCTGCATGACGAAAAACGACATCGAGAGCAGAGATAGAAATGACTGTGTATCTTCCCGAGCTTCAGGAGAAGATTCATGAACAAATTATACATTTAAAGATCGACAATTCTGCCGTTGCCCCTTACACCCGCCATCCTGGCCAATGCTCTGGATGGGGTTAATCATCGTCATCAGGAGGCCAGCTGCGAGATTAAAAGACTTACCTGTTGAGTCGAAACACTTCTCACGTTGACGACGAAGCAACTCGGACAAGCGATGGGGTTGCAGACTAACAGACCGACCGGTGAGTCGTCGATATCATCAGCGGAGATGACAAAGACACTAGTCACGGGATGGGGGAAGGTGTGGCCGATTATTTGCTAACGAATTGAAGCGAAGGACGAGAGAGAGTTCGAGGGAGGTGGGGCGCACGTACCTAAGGTTGTAGTGGGGCGAGGAGACTGCAAACGACATAAGCAGGTGGTGGGTGGCAAACGGGGAGCGAACTACGGAAGGTGGAGACCCGTGTGCTAATCGTGCACTGCTCATTGAGCCACCGCTAGCAAAAAGGGGGGACGCCGCCCGTGGAAGTTAACGAAATGATTTAATTCACCAGTACGTCATATCTGGTGGTCGCTGCATTGGCTCACTTTATCGATAGAAGTGGCGGGATGGTGCAGGCGGAGAAAGGGACGGTGTGAAGAGGGGCAACAACCAACATTGGGTTGCAAATTGGGCAATAGGCGATTGACCCCAGAAGTTGGCAGCTTCAGACTCGGATGCATCGATTCAACCACTATTGCTCACAACGACCTTGCCGAGCCACAGACTAGTAGTAGCTGCGTTCCCCACAGCCTAGGCGCCGAGTACATGTGAGAAGAGGAGGTACTATTGCTAAAATTATTGAGGGGTAGGAACGACTGTGGCAATTGGTGTAGGACCTTTACTGTAGACTGTGCTTGCCGACCTGACTGATAGCGGAGCGGGTCGCTAGTGTTTCCCGAACAGTTCAATCTATGAAACGCTGCTCATCATACTGATCGAAGCAGCCGCAGTGCAGGTCTAGCTGCGGGCTGGATGCTTGTTAGGACCGGGTGAGGGCTACACAGTCGACATCTACGCACACTCCCTCTGCTGCATGAACTGCTAGACCTCGTTGTCGTTGGCATTATGGCGTAAGAAAAGACCGTGCTCCTCAGCTTGGTCCGTATCTCAAGCTGTGGCTAGTGCGTTTTCGGAAACACGAGCTCGGCGGAGTGGCCGAGTCATTTAAGGAGGGGTCATCGTTGCGACTTGGAGAGTCGTCAGAAAGTCAACAGTTGAACGTTGGCTGCTGTTGGCAGTTGTTGGCTGCTGCTGGCTGTGGCAGACTGTTGCTGGCTGACTGCTGACGGCTACAGACCAGAGCAAACTGCCGCTATCTGACTGTTGACCGATACAGGTTGCCTCAGACTACTGTGTAGCGATGATTGGTCTAAAGAGAGATGCTGGGACTTATAGGGGTAAAAGGGGCTGTTGCGACAATTTGGAAGGTCGTCTGGGAGTTGAATTCAACAGTTTGACTTCAGGATTTGATCAAGCTGCTGCGGCCTGACCATCATTGTGGGGCCCTCAGGCGAGTGAAGGTATCGAGGTCCTCTCCTGGGAGTTGAGTTGTCCCTCTCTTGCATCTCGAGCGTCTGAAACTCCTTATCTTCTGCCCTTCTTACTCTAAGTCTAGTCCTGATCTGAGAAGAAGGCGGCAGGCAGGATTGCAACCCGTAGGACCGCAGCAAGGCCTACGTGGGAGGTTACCCCACCGATTGCGGGAGCTCTGCCGGAACTCAGGAGGGGTTCTGAAGGCAAGGATATGAGAGGTAACCACCCATTTCCCTCTATAAACTCATATTATAGCCCCTATCTGTATTGCCCATTGCATGTTTGAATGAGTATATGGTATACGGCCCTACTTTGACTTTTTGTCTTACTTTCATGACTCAAAACCAGATTAAATAAAAGAATGGTTGATCAAGTTCAGTTTTAAACTTTGTTGACTGTGTGAAAGCAGACTGTTTAAAGAGATTGCATATGGGAAAGGGCAGGATGGGAAGCAGTCTTGCGTGAGGTTTGACTGGGTTATCACGGCTGGGAGGTCCCCATAAGTTTGGGGAGACCCAATGCTTTGTTTTATTTTGGACTGTGTGGAGCATCAGACCATTCTATAAGTTTAGGTGGTCTGATTGTTCTAAAGGCTGGGAAGTCCCCATAAGTTTTGGGAGACCTAGTGCTGTGGGTTTGTATTGAGAATCCGATCATTCTATAAGTTTAGGTTATCTGGTTGCTCTGACTTGCGAGGGCTGCTTGTGATTGACTTTTTCAGGGACCAAGTGTGTTCTGTAAGTTCAGGTGCCTTGGTTGCCTTGTTATTTTGGGTTTTCCTCTGTTTATTAGGTTCCGAACGAGGAGGTCTGAGCCATTCTATAAGTTTAGGTGACTCAACCTCTTCCTGTTTTATTTTAAGGGAATGTACTTGACAAAGGGGAAGACCGTTCTATAAGTTTAGGTGGTCTAACCCAATGCCACACACATATTGGATCAGAGAGAAACAAATCAGGCAGAGAGTCGGACTGTTCTGTAAGTTCAGGTGGTCTAACTTAAAGCCCGTATATGTTGGAACCCAATGATATAATTTGGCTATATTTTATTACTATCTTATTTATGAACAAGCTAGTCAGACTATTCTATAAGTTTAGGTAGTCTTACTATAACGTATCACAATGTGAAGAGAGTATAACTAAGAGTATAATTGAACGTAACCTGAACCGACTGAGCATTGTTTCTAAGATGAATGAATCAGTCCTACGCCCGCTTTGAAGATTAAGTTCAGAGAGATATATACAATCTGACTACTTAAACAGTTCAGGGCGACTAGAATGGTCTAGTCATATGCCCAAAGAAGAGAGAAGTAGTTGTGCCCTCTGTTATGTGTATGCTCTTTGGGTAAGTTGGACTTATTCCATAAGTTTGGGTGACTTGACTTTATGCCTGACTAAGTAAGACACATTCCATAAGTTTGGGTGTCCTAACCTTATGCCTTATGTGAGTTGGATATAAGGGGTTAAATCATTGAGAGATTATGAACTATTGTTTGTTTAGAGAAACTTTGGATGATGAGAGTACTTACCTTTGTGGTTTGACTTGCATGTGGCTGAGTGAGATGACTACCTGGTCTGAGTTTCAGTTTGATAGGTAGTTGCTTTAGTTGCTCGCCACGTGCTAGAGCCATAGGAGTTAGTTTCAGTTTCTGCATTGTCTAAGTTAAGTTTTTTTTACTTAGATTAATTTTCGCATTTTCTGGGATCTTTTATTATACTTGGTCTTATATAAATGTTGGTAAGCCACTTTCTCTACGGAAAGCGCTGCCGAAATGTCTACAAAACCAAGAAGTTAGTCAGACTCTGTCTTTTTCAGGGTCCAGTTCTTTTTTTTGACTTTTTGACTTAGTAAAAATCTGGAAAGTTTCACTTTCTAAAGGGAGTGCTGCCCAAATTTTTGCTAATTCAGTGAGTTAGACAAAATTAGACCTTGAAAAGTCGAAGTCATTTCTGAATCCAAACTTAGCTTTGTATAAATTCTGATATAGCACTTTCTCTACGGGAAGCGCTGCCGAAATTTTTACAAATCTAAGGAGTTAGTTAAATTTTGTCTTAACTGAACTCATGTTTTTATATTTGAGTTCATTTCTGACTTAGTATAAATCTGAAAAGAGTCTCCCTTTGTAGAGGAAGTGCTGCCCACTAATTCAGAGAGTTAGACAAAATTTCGACTTTCTATAATTTTGGGCTAGTGTAAATTCTGCGAGGGCACTTTTCCTACGGGAAGCGCTGCCGAAATTTTCTTAATTTAGAGGGGTTAGATTATATTTTGACAGGTGGCGATTCTGGAAAATCCACTCTGTATAGGGGAGATTCTGCCACGGTCTACCTTTCCTTTGACATTTGCTTAGAGGTAGACTTAGGCATTTGTTAATTAGGATGGTTTGGGTGAGATCGTGATAAGGAGATTATTCTCCCTGGACTCATAAACTTAGCTTGGGGGATTGGACTGTCATGTGTTACAGGTCCTCTTAATTGATTGATTTAGGATTTGGGCTAGATTCAGCTTGATCTTGCGAGGATCATCTTCTGCTATCACTGATAACAGGTCAGTTGCCGATTCGTCGGTTTACGACTCAACCTCAATCCACCCTCAACATTCAACCTAAAAGGCTTTAGCCTTGGTGATTTTACTGTTTTGTTAAGGTTTCACCCAAAATTTTATTGAATGGTCATTTAACAAAGATACTGAGCATTTAATTATGGTTAGTTGGAGAGGAGGTTGGGGCTTGCATGGCTTAAGCAAGGGGTATGAGTGTAGAGGTTGGTTGAAGTTGACTTCGTGTAGTGCGTGGACTTTTTGTTTGACTCTTTGATGTGATGGCAGGTATGTATGGTGGCTCGGATCTGGATTGACCTGCCTATGATCATACATATGTATAAGTGGTTTTGAGGAGTCCCACTGTGATTGTGGGAAGTGATCGTCACATACTTATCCCCTTTATAAATATACAAAGACATATGTGCACCTATGTTGAGAGTTCGCGCGGCCTGAAGGGCCCGCGTATTAAGGGTTGAATAGAGGTTGAGGCTGAGAAAAGGCAGAAAACCCCCTCTTCCGATTGTATACTTGTTGATGATCTTTTAGTCGGACGTTGGTCTTGGGTCGGGATTCAAGGCCCTTGTCTAGGACATCCTAAGTCCTAGACTCTGCATAGAAGGGATAACCCCTCGGGCAGATTCTATTTGCCTTGCCTGTTGAGACATTCAGGCCAAGGGTCGGAGGTCTCACGGCGGTTGCACGGCTATTCCTTCAGCCATGCAATATCGTGAGGGAACAAACCATCACGACACTTCGAGTCTGACACATGAGTGTCATAAGCGGTACTCGGATCCACGAGGGACCGCTTGATTATGAGCACTACATAGTACGCCATCATTGCGACTGCTTGCGCGCGCTTGCATTGCGAGTCGATACGAGTAGGCCCTGCGTCCGTGCGGTTTTTTTACTAAGTCTTGCACGTGACGCCTATCCGAGATCCGCATCGGAGAGTTATGGGATGGCTACCGAGGGACTAGGAGTGTTGTCGCGATGTTTGTTCTGTGTCGTTTTGTGTACGTGTACGTATGTGTATTTTTTTATTTTTTTTAATGTTTTTTAGAGTGGTGTGTGCGTGGTGAGTGAGATACGTCCTAGTCGACCGACGTCGGACCGCGCTTGGAACTTCAACCCCCCAAGATGTCGGTTCGCGTGCGGGTCCAATAGAGGCGTATTACCGCGCGTACCCCCTATGCTACAACGAACGAGAAACGCCCTCGACTGGTCCACCTCTGTGATTGCAACTGATTAGCTTTCGTATTGTGGACTGGTAGCTCGGCAGGGATATGCCCACCGAAGGAAGGTGATAACTCCCGTAAGGTGGAGGTAAGTCGTTCCTCGCTTAGCAGGGTATCGCGAGAGGTATGGCTGGCGCACTCGGCCGGAGCGGCTTGTAGAAGCTCCATGTATATTCGCGACGAGGATTAAGAACCAACTCCTGCGTGACGTGGCCGGGAGGGTCCCGCGCTGCCCAGTGCGGTGCTGGACCGATGTGCTCGACAGGTGGCGTCGTTGCTGGGGACAACGAAAGCCTACCGTTGTCCCTGGTGGAACGATATCCGGGTATTGGATCGAGAAAATTAGGCATATAATGGAGATATAAATAGACCGTGACATAGACTGTGTGGTGCTTTGTGTGACTATGTGCGAGATATTTGATTATTAATGACTTTGATTTGTAACATGATTTGATTGTATGACTGGAAGGATTGTCAAGGAAGTCCTATGGTGGAAACAGACTCTATAAGGGCAAGCGTGGGAGTAAGGGTAGTGTTTGTTAGACCTAGGGAGTGTGGGAATGATATAGGGAGCCCGATAAAAGTATGTTAAGCTAGGCTGCTGAGTAAAGCTGTCCTTTTTTTTTATATATACAGGGAAGTTGAGAAAGGAGCAGCCAACCAAGATGTCGGGAGGTGTGGGCAACAGTTCGAGAAAGGTCGTGACGCTCGACGATCGTATCGAAACCCTGGATAGGCGAGAAAGAGCGCCAAGAAATGTTCTAAAGGTTGATACGTTCCACTTCAATGGAGAATTGGTCTCCGATTGGCTGGACCTGGTTGAGCAGGCGCTGGTGGGGTTGTCAGATGAAGTAAAATTCCAGCGAATTCTGAGGTACTTCCTTCACGGGCATCATCAGGAAGTGGGCAAGGTTGTGGAAGTCGCGAATGGCAGTTGGGCAAGGTTCAGGGATGGAATGCAAAGGAAGTACAGACTGAGTGATGGCCTGCTGACTACAACAGAGCTAGAGGCTATGAACAAGGATGACTTCACCACAATCAGGGCATTTGTGTAAGAATTTAAGAAAAAGGCGAGAAAAGTACATGGGATTTCTGAAGAAGCACAATGCGCTATTTTTTTGGGATTGCTCACTGCCTCAGAAGCGTCGGCGCTAACGAGCCATGGACTCACTGCCTCAGAAGCGTCGGAGCTAACGGGCCATGGAGGTGGAAGTGCGAAGCTCACATGGGCTACTATTGACAAGGGAGTGGAGGATGGAAGTTTGGACCAGGTAGTGCAACACCAAATGCGCATGCGGAGGCGGAAGAGGAAGAAAAGGGACGCCACCGCGTCCGGAACCCCGGGGGTAAAGAGGATCGTCACGGACGTGTTGGCAGAGTTAGGATATGGCAAGGATGCTGAGGTGCAGAAAAAGGTGGTGATCGTGGTCCAAGGTCGGGTGTCAGAGGTGGTGGACGAGGAGACCGGACACGACGACTACGGTGGGGAGGAGACAATCTCCCAGGTTCTGACCATGGCGCAGCGTAAGCAGCGCAATCTACTAACGGGCGGGCAAGGCTCTGGAAAGGGGCAGATCCCGCAGACGGTCGCGGCGCCTCCGACCGCCGTCGTGAGTGCGCCTATGTCAGCAGGGCCCTCGATGATGGGGCCACCAACATCATACAGACACTGGTTACCCTAGTACCCCATATCACCCTGACCCCCATATAACCAATGCAATTCATGGGGAGGGGGCCAAGTTCCCTCGGGGGCGATGGTGCCCTATTCAGGTCCACTGGCGAGTGCGGGACCACCAAGTTTCCCGGCAGCCCAGGGCCAATTCGCAACCCAACCTCCACCCTCGCAGCAGGTATTGGAGGCTAGCGTGGATGGAGGAGGGAACCAAGGGCAAGGCGGACGGAGCAATGGAGGCCGAGGCCAAGGAAGGAATGGCGGGGGTCGTGGCGGTGGATGGAATGGCCAAGGGGGCTAGGACCAAGGAGGCCAAGGTGGTCAGGAAGGGGGCCAAGGATATGGCAGGCCCTGCTTCGATTGGCGGAATGCCATTTGTCGGCATTGTGGCTATCAGGGCCACACTATACGGTTTTGCCAAGGGTGGCGCGACGATGAGCTCTCCGGGTTGATTTCCACTAATATGGACGGGGATATATACGACAAATTTGGGAAGTATATTGACCCAAAGACTCCAGGCGGAGTCAGGCAAGAGGTCCAGAGGCGAGCGGCAGCAGGACCAGCACCCCCGACAATGTTCAGAATGTGGCAGGAAAGAGAGGACCCGACCATAAGGGTCGAGGAGATTGTGGGGAGAACGAGGAGGTGACTCAGCGACTAAAGGCAGGGGCCATAAAGGAAGAGTCGATAGTCGTTAAGTCAGATGATGAGGAGAGAGGAGAGGAGGGAGATTCAGTCATAACCATTCTGGAGAAGATGGAGGACTTGCTGGGGAAAGTGGATAGGTACAAGCAAAGGTTAAAGAGTTTGTGTGATGAGACCAAGGAATGGAGGGCCAACCTCCTTGGAGTTTTCCTCTATGAGTTCGGGCCCGAATCATCGTCGGGGCAGCAAGGGTATACAAGGGTTGCGATTGTGGGGTCAGACCCTAGGTCGGGGATGACCTATAGGCCCCCCACGTCGCATGGAAGAGTGCCATAGGCAGCACGGACCAGAAGCTAGAACAAGGCTGGAACCAGTCAAGTGCCCAGCCAGGCGCCTAGTCAGGCGCCCCCTCGAAGGGAACTTGAGCCCGAGCGCAGGAAGGAGGTGGTGGAAGTCCCAGAAGAGGAAGAGGAAGATGAAGACGAGGAGGATGAGAGGCTCCGACAAGAGGAAGACCGGCGGGCGGAGCTAAGAGTTAGGAAGAGAGGGGTTCATGAGGAAGTTGAGCCGCGGTTTGGCTAAAAGAGGGCTTTGATGTGGAAAGGGTGGTGGACAGACTCCTGGAAGGCCACAATGACCTGATAAACTTGAAGGACATTTTGGCGTCAGCCCCAAGGCTCCGTGATGGTTTGAAGGGGCGGCTCTCGTGAAGATTAGTGCCCAATGTCCATCTGAGTACGATCCTGCCGAGGGAGGTAGAGTTGACTGAAGCAGGGACAAGCATGGAGTGAAAGTGTGTGGCGTGTGGCCAGGTGGATTTGGTGGTGAAGGATCAGAAGTGCACTAGAATGGTGGATACAGGCGCTGAAATGAACATCATCCGGGAAAGGGAAGCGATCATGCTGGGAATGGAGATCGACCGTTCGGACTACTGTATGCTACATGGCGCCAATTGCAAGGCGGTCTTTTGTGGCACGACGTCCAATGTGATCGTGGAGATTGACAAGGTACGAACAAGGACCTGTTTCTTTGTTATGCCGGATGTTGACCATTCTGTCCTCTTGGGTAGATCTTTCCTGTGCAGGACGGAAACACTGATTTTTAACAAGCACGATGGGACGATGATCCTACTCTTGTGCGACCCGGCCTGCGAGAACTACGAAGTCATTACTTGCCGGAACACAAGGGCGCGGAGTGGGAGGAACAGGCCTAACCCCGGCTCGTTCACCTTCGAGGAATCCGAAAACGAGCGACGGAGGCTCTAGGAGCTGCCCGAGGTGGAAGGAGGGGCCGAAGTGCTGACGCTGAGCCTTATTGATGTAAATGAGGCTATGGAGGTGGTGGCAACGCATGACATGGCAGACCCCGAGGCCATTAGGGCGCTGAGGGAGCAGGTTTTAGAGAGCCCTTAAGTGAGAGAAGTGGAGCTGGTTTATCGACTTCCGGGTGGAAGGGGAGATCCTGCAATGGCACAAGCACAACACGCAAGCCGACCTTTTTTAGGGGACGGCTTAAGCAGGGTTCCCAAAGGCGGTACAAAACGGTAGATAAAAAGTGCCGCCCAGTTCCCGTGCTCATTACTGAAGATGAGGAAGCCTATTACGAGCGGGAACGAGGACTGATACGGCGCATGCGGGAGCAAGCAGCAAGTGCTTCGTGCCGTATCAACGATGAGAATGAAGGGAAGCTGATAATTGGAGAGCCTGACTTCCTTTTACCCTAGGAGAAGACTCTGATGGTGGAGCTAATGAAAAGGAGGCATCGCATTTACGCCTTTAATGACGATCAGCGTGGGAGACTGGATGTGGAAAGATCCCGATGATTCGGATCCACACAATACCACACGAGCCATAAAATCTAAGAGGCGTGCGATATCCCAACCCTGATGAGGAAAAGATGGTGGTGGACTACCTGGACGACAAGATGCGCACGCACGTTGCTTACTACTCTAGCGGGCCGTATGCTTCCCCTTGGTTTTGTTTCGTTAAGTCAAACGGGACGCTGCAGTGGGTACAAGATTTGCAGTGGCTAAATGCGGTGGCAATGCGAGATGCGGGAGGTTTGTCGAACGCGGACGCATTGTAAGAGTCATGCGCAGGAAGGCCTATAATTTCGCTTATAGACCTCTACTCTGGGTATGACCAGTTTTCTGTATATCCGCCAGATAGGCCTGTAACGACAATGCATACGCCTAGAGGGCTAATTCATATGAATGTAGCCCCTCAGGGCTGGACGAATGCGGTGGCAATGGTGCAAAGACACATGATCAGAGCCATGCAAACGGTCAGTCCACACATCACCCAACCTTATATCCATGACTTGGCGGTCAAAGGCCCGAAGGAAAGAGAGGAAGACGAAGTGATGCCCAAAGTAAGGCGTTTTGTCTGGAAGCATGTCCAGGATCCTAATCGGGTCCTGAGCCTGTTGGAAGAATATAACCTTACATCAAGTGGTCCAAATTCCAAGCACTATATGAGGGAAGCCACCATCTTGGGGTTTGTCTGTAATGAGAAAGGTCGAAGACCTTACGTGAAGAAGAAAGACAAGATCCTGGAGTGGCCACTACCTTTTCGTTCGATAACGGACGTAAGGAGCTTCCTCGACAGTGAATTCTGGAGGAGCTTTGTAAAAAACTTTACCGCTAAGACTGAGTATTTGAGAAAGCTGGTACGTCAGGACCAGGAATGAATTTGAGGCGGAGATCGGGAAGAGGTTGTGAAGCGAATGAAGGAAGAGTTTAAAGAAGGAGGTTTGGTGTTAGGGGTGCCAAACTGTGAGGTTACAGAGGAGAAACCGTTCATCATCGAGACGGACGCTGGGCCAACTGCCCTGGGAGGAGTCTTGGTTCAGGCAGATGCCGATGAGAAGGAGAGGCCGCTGAGATTCGAGAGTCAGACTCTCAATACGACTGAGAGGAACTATTCTCAGTTTAAAAAGGAGACTCTTGTGGTACTCCATTGCCTGAGGATCTTCCGGAACTATGTTTTTGGCAGGAGGTTCATATTGAGGGTGGACCCCACTGCGCTCGCCTGTTCCCTAAAGAATTATACACCATCGGACCCAACCGTCGCGAGATGGCTGACGTACATTTGGATGTTTAACTTTGAGTTGGAGAGGATTCCAGGGGACAAAAACAGGGTAGATGGGTTGAGCCGCATCAACTGGGATGAGCCTGATCAAGGGTCGATAGAAGACACTCCGCCGATTGATGGGTTCTTGGGCCAAGAAGAAGACGCCCGCCTCCATATAAATGAATGGTCCCTGCGAGTGCCTAGTTGTGTCAGCCACCCCATATGGCTAGCGCCTAGGGGGTATGAACAAAAAGAGGAGTTGGTCCTCAAGCCCTTTCAAGAGGAGGATCCATGGGGAAGTAAGGATGTCCACTAGATGATGAAATTGGCATTGGCTGGTACACATAGTCTGGCGGAGGAAGCGAGGACGATAGAGGAGAGCCCCACTCAGGTAGAGGAGCATGAGCAGTTAATGGGAGGAATGTACCTGCTTACAAATACGCTTCTGCAAGGAGACTTTGACCGGAAGGGCTCATTCAGTCCTATTGAGGGCGAGGACTTCGTTCCTGAAAGCCAGGATGATGAGTTCGAGGAAGGAAAGATCAAGGAAGTCTTCCGTGCGAAAGAATATAATGGAATCTACCTGGAGTTAGGACTGCTCCTGTCCTGTGAGATGAAGAATAGAGATGTAAGTGATAAGGCGCAGAAGATAAGGCACCTGTATGTGGTAAGAGATGACCATTTGTTCATAAAGCGACAGGTCAGGAATCCCAAGAGAATTATGTGCGGGAGGAACCGACAGATCGACATCATCGCGACATTGCACGACGGTATAGCAGGAGGACACAGGGGATTAAATGCTATGTATGCAAAGATAAGCGAGCTATACTACTGGGATGAGATGCTGAACATGGTCATCGAGTATTGCCAGTCTTGCGTACCTTGCCAAGAAAGGTCACCGCAAAGGCCAGGGGAGCCCCTACACCCAAGATTGGAGAAGGAAGTAGGCGCGGCTGTACGTCTAGATCTACTCTTCATGCCGGTTGGGGAAAACGGATGTAATTACATCTTCGATGCGCGAGATAACCTTACCGGGTTTGTAGATGGTCGGGCTATTCGCACAAAGACCGGCCCAGTTTTGGCGAGCTGCATCGAAGAGTATTATCTATGCTACCCTTTCGTCAAAGAGTTCGTGATGGATCGAGGATCGAAGTTTACCTGTAACGAGGTGCGGACTTTGCTTGCAAGGTATGGCGTGGTGGCGAATTATACTACTGCTGTACATCCTCAAGCAAATGCACCTGTGGAAAGGGGACACAGTACCATTACAAATCACCTAGCCAAGTGGACGGAAGGCAAACCCGGCCAGTGGCCGAAGTTCTTGCGCGCAACTTTCTTTGTGGAGAATGTCACGGTGAAGAGAACTACCAAGTACGCGCCAGCTACTCTGTGGTACGGAAGGCACGCCACCTTTCCCATAAAAAGTTTTATGAAAACCTGGAGGCGCCAAGACTTAGAGGTCAACCTGTCTTTCGAAGAGCTGCTCGATATTCGGGCGCGACAAGTAGGGGCTGCTGAAGAAAGGTTACGGGAGGCCGCCAATCAGGTAGAGAGGAGCCGCATGGATGATAAGATGCGATGAGACCAGATGGCGCGAGTGAGGAAGGAACAATTGGGAGTTGGGGACGACTATTGCTGTACGACTCCTCCTTGGAGAAGCAATGATCGAGAAAGCTCACCAAAAAGTGGATGGGGCCCTATAGGATCTTGCGGTGCGGCGAATGTGGAGCCTACCAGATCGAGGAGCTGGACGGGACAGGATGGCAGGATTGGGTGTCAGGGACCAAGTTAAAGAAGTTTGTGGCCAGGAAATAGGTAAAGAGTTTCATACCCCCCAGAATAAACCATTGCCTAAAAGTGTCGCATGTCCTGGTTAGACTAAGTAGGGAAAGGAAGGGATAGGTATGTATGTGTTTGTCATAGACTCGATGAACCTGATGGCTGATCTCGTTGTGTGCCTGTTTGCTTCCTCTCGCCTGATGTGCAAGCCTAACTTTCTGAAGACAGCCCTGCAGAGGGGCGGGAGGGGCTCACGACCACGACAGAGGCCCCTGGAGCATCTGGAGGGGATCAGCGCGGACCATTTGGGAGAGAGTCCACGCCTGTCTTCGACGATGATAACATAGAGCTCTTCTTAGACACCTACCAGGCTCATGCGACACGAGAGGGATGGTCTACCCTGGAGAGGATACGAAATCTGAGAGGGGTTGGACGTTTCGAAGAGCCTATAGCGCATATCCGAGAGGAGACTTTGACCTGGCCAGATGTGGAGGCAAGAATGCAGAGGTTAAGAGCTTCGCCGGTAGGACGCGATGGTTTGCCTATCCGGCTGGAGGAAGGCAATGCGGAGGAGTTCATTCCAGCCTATGAGCAGTATATGCACGATCAAGGGACCGCCCAGGAAGAGTGGATGCAGACATTGCTCCTCTGGACGCGAAGGGCGGAGAGGCCATTGGCAAGACAGATTCGGGATAGGGCGCGTGAGTGGGAAGATTGCCAGGCTCAGCTGAGGCAGGTATTCTGACGGCCAGAGCCTGAGAGGCCAGAGCCCAGGGTTTAGAGAAGGCAGAGAAGTAAGAGGCCACGAAACCCAGAGACGATGGGGGCCACTATGACGAGGAGGAGCCAGTGGGGCCTGTTCAGGCAGCAGGGCCACTCCCTACTCATGGACATGAGCAAGTGGAGTCTCGTCAGATCACTAGCAGTGACCTACGGGGCCCGTCGCCGAAATTGCCAGAGGAGGGGGAGGATGTACCATCGGAGACGCCGCTCGGAAGTCTGGAGGCCCACCTCGATGCGTCTCAATGGGGGACTTCGCAGTTGGGAGTAGATCCGGTTGAACCGGCACGGTACGAGCCGGCGGAAGGGCTACAAGGCCCTGAGCCAGGGACTGAGCCGCGTGAGCCAGGGGAGCTACAGACAGAGGAGGTTATTACCGTTGGGGACGATACACCTCCTCATACCCCGGTCCCGGAGCAGGTACGACAGCCCTGGCCAGAAGGGATTCCTGAGGCAGATAGTGGAGAGGTTTTAGCACCTGCGCCGGAGGCTATCACTTCGCCCAGGAAGGTGGCAGAGACAGGGGGGCAGGAGGAGGACGAAAGGGCGGGGGTGCGTACGACCGTCGACTCGTGGTTAGCCGAGCATCCGACCGAGCACTCAGATACTGAGATGCCAGCGTCCGATGAGCCACCGCCAGAGTTGTCGCATGTAGAGAGAGGGGTAAGTGCTAAGGCTCCGGCTCGAGAGACCCACGAGGCGCGGACAGGGAGAGCACTGAGAGAGACGGCTGAGGAGAAGTCTACGAGGGTGCAGGCTCGCCTCGCGGTGATATATGAAAAGAAAGTTAGGATGGAGGCCGCAGGTGTGGCGCCAACGCTGCCGGTTGATTCCGGGACGAGTGAGCAGAGGATCGATGAGATGTGGGCTAGGTACGAGAGAAGGAGGGATGCCGCCCGCCTAAGGTCGCAAGAGACCGGACAGGAAGGCGAGAGGGCGGACGAGATAAAAGAGAATGAAGACTTGGGATTTTCCGCCGCCAGGATGGCGATCGAGCGAGCAGAGAGAAGGATACGCCAGGCGGCGACCACGTCATTCCAACGATATACCCTGCTCAGTGATGAGCTGGTGGCTGCAAAATTGGAGGTGGAACAACTATCTACTCTGCTAGCGGAGGAGAGGGCAGAGAATCGAGCCTGGAAAACTCGTATGGAAGTTAGGGAAGTTGATGTCAGGACAATGGAGACCCAAGTGAGAATTCTGGCAGCATAATGTTGTGGTTTGCGTGATTTGATGGAGACCTCGAACCAGAGTCTGTCAGCTAATCGGATTGGTTCCTTTCTCGTTAGCATTTGGAGTATGGATGAATTTATAGCTTTTTGATTCGGCAAAGCGACGGGGACGTCGCTTAATATGGTCCGGTAAGCTGTCAGTGCGAATACCCGGACAAGGATATCCGTCATGGTTTTTACAAACGACAGAAAATAAGTTTAGTTAAAAGTTTGAGTATACCACACGAGTCGCGGCAGTGTCCGTTGTTTATGCGGCTAATGGTTGACTAGAATAAAGGGTGTGTGGGCGCGCGGATTTCAGGCGCGCATGATCTTTTAAATTGTTGATGATTGTGAAAGTCGGCGTTGGTCGCCGGCTGGATTTTTATCCTAATTTAAACGGGGATTAAAAAGATTATGTCTCGCCTATGACTTGTTCGTATGTATGGGGGACGGCGTCGACAACAGTGTGGCTTCTGAAATTGTTTCGGTAGGTCGGCGGGTCGTGCAGTGCTCGTTTATTTAGGCGTCCGTCGGAGCTGAACCCAGATATGGGCCTAGCATCAGCGGTTACGGTGTCCGACTTTCATTAGAAAGGTTCACGGGTCGAGATCGGGTGGCGACGACGCGGGGGATATCAGAGTAGCACGAAGGGACTGAGGGGTCGAGGTCCCGGCGGGGCTATCCCCCTTGATTTTGCCGGCGGCGACTTCGGAAAGATGGTAATAATTTCCTTTCCCCTATTCGCCGTATTCCGACGATTAAAAGTCTATATATTTTATTTCATTATTTGTATTGACGTTATTAATTTTTGCGTCAGTTATTTCTTGACTTGGACGTGACGCCGGGATTGGTGGCCGTCATGGCAGTCGAGGACCTTGATCACACGCCTCTTTATCTTGTCCGTCTTGAGAAAGAGGGGTGAGGAAAGTTGGCGGAACCGTTTGAACTTCCTGCGTGTTCAAGATGTTGACGATATTCCTTTATCTTGTCCGTCTTGAGAAAGAGGGGTGAGAAAATTTACGTGCATACGAACGGATGAGTGATTGAACCGCGAGGCGGAAGAAACCTGAATGGCGGGGATTGAAGCGGCGAGCCCTCCGCCAACTACAGTCTGTAGTAGAAAGGAGCGTGAGCATGGGTATTGGGTCCTAGAAAAGGATGATATGAGCCTGGGTGACGGCCGGGGCACTAGGAAGGGGCCTTGGTATGGCTCTGTTCGCCTGGAACCATGTTTCTACGGGGATTTTTCAAAGTCCTGATCTGGATAATTGCTACCACCATTGAGAGCCGCACCGGGCCGGTATGCCAGGGCATGTACGGCAGGCCACTCCTCTGAATCCGTAACCTGCTATCTGTGCGGGTGCCGCCTCTTGGGGGTCAGAGGCGGTGGGGAGCTCCACATGAGTAGAATGAGGCAGGTGTAGTATAGGTTAGCAGTGATACTGCCGTAGGAATCATCTGTCGGGCTTGAGTATAGGGGCAAAAAGACCTAACGAACCACCTAGTAGCTGGTTCCTTTTGAAGTTTCCCACGGGACAGTCGAAGCTGTTCGGCAGCTCCGCTGCCCGGCTGTGGGACCGAGCGCTGCAGCCGGAGGAAGCGTTGGGGGAGGCTCGCAGCGACACAGATCGGGCAGTAGGTGCCTAAAAGCCCGCTCGTCGGCTTTGAGGTATAGGGCAAAAGGTTATCGGACTGTCCTGTAGTTGCTCTCCCCGAAAAGTCCCTTAAGCTGAGCGGAACAGTCGGGAAGGCTGCAACACTAAGGCGCTGACGGGCTGGTGATGAAAGTGGTGAGAGGCCGTGAGCGTTATTGGTATGGGGAAGAAAAGGGTGACGCCGATGCGGTGGTGAAAATGGGCTGAGTGAATCCGGACGGGAAAGTGTGCCGGGTGAGTGCAGAGAAGGTGGCAAACTATGGCGAAGACAACAGGAGCATAGGAGTGAGAAACGTATAGCCCGCCCATTCCTTAGTGGAAATAGGTGGGGGAAGATGCGATATGGGGGTTTTAGAGTAGGGCGAATACGTTAGTAATGTTAGTTTTAGTGGTAGATTAGTAGAATAGGAGAAGAAAGAGAAGTTGGTGTGAGGAGCTGTGGAGGAGATGGGAAGAAGAGGGAGGAAGAGTGTGTAGAATGGTCATTTGGGTATGGAATTAGTCGGGGAGCGGTGCGTTCCTACTGTTTTAGAAGTGGACGAATCAGATTCTGAAGTCAAAATCGAAGGAAGGTTAGTAGATGAGCGGCTAGAAGTGAAACAGACAGCGTGGAGATGGCGGGAAGTGTGAAGGAAGGAGAGTAGGAAAATGCCTACCTCCCTCGTTTCTGAGCGGTTTCGAACGAAGGGGAGCTCGATTCTGGGGTTTTTTGACTCTACGAAACAATCTACGAAGTTAGATTTGAGGATAAATGTTTAGTTTAGGCCGGGTGGTGGAACAAGCTGCGCGCTGCATGACGGAAAACGACATCGAGAGCAGAGATAAAAATGACTGTGTATCTTCCCGAGCTTCAGGAGAAGATTCATTAACAAATTATACATTTAAAGATCGGCGATTCTGGCGTTGCCCCTTATACCCGCCATCCTGGCCAATGCTCTGGATGGGGTTAATCATCGTCATTATGAGGCCAGCCGCGAGATTAAAAGACTTACCTGTTGAGTCAAAGCACTTCTCACGTTGACGACGAAGCAACTCGGACAAGCGATGGGGTTGCAGACTAACAGACCGACCAGTGAGCCGTCGATATCATCAGCGGAGATGACAAAGACACTAGTCACGAGATGGGGGAAGGTGTGGCCGATCATTTGCTAACGAATTGAAGCGAAGGAGAAGAGAGAGTTCGAGGGAGGTGGGGCGCACGTACCTAAGGTTGTAGTGGGGCGAGGAGACTGCGAACGACATAATTAGGTGGAGGGTGGCAAACGGGGAGCGAACAACGGAAGGTGGAGACCCGTGTGCTAATCGTGCACTGCTCATGGAGCCACCGCTAGCAAAAAGGGGGGGGGGCGTCCGTGGAAGTTGACGAAATGATTTGATTGACCAGTACGTCATATCTGGTGGCCGCTACATTGGCTCACTTTATCTGTAGAAGTGGTGGGAGGGTGCAGGCGGAGAAAGGGACGGTGTGAAGAGGGGCAACAACCAGCATTGGGTTGCAAATTGGGCAATAAGCGATTGCCCGCAGAAGTTGGCAGCTTCAGATGCATCGATTCAATCACTATTGCCCACAACGACCTTGTCGAGCCACAGACTACGCAGCCTGGGCGCCGTGTACATGTGAGAAGCGGAGGTACTATTGTTAAAATTATTGAGGGGTAGGAACGACTGTGGCAATTGGTGTAGGACCTTTACTGTAGAATGTGCTTGCCGACTTGACTGATAGCGGAGCGGATCGCTAGTGTTTCCCGAATAGTTCAATCTACGAAACGCTGCTCATCATACTGATCGAAGCAGCCTCAGTGCAGGTCTAGCTGGGGGCTGGATGCTTGTTAGGACCGGGTGAGGGCTACACAGTCGACATCTAAGCACACTCCCTCTGCTGCTTGAACTGCTGGTCCGCGTTGTCGTTGGCATTATGGCGTAGGAAAAGACCGTGCTCCTCAGCTTGGTCCGTATCTCAAGCTGTGGCTAAAGCTGTGGCTAGTGCGTTTTCGAAAACACGAGCGCGGCGGAGTGGCCGAGTCATTTAAGGAGGGGTCATCGTTGCGACTTGGAGAGTCGTTAGAAAGTCAACAGTTGAACGTTGGCTGCTGTTGGCCGTTGTCGGCTGCTGCAGGTTGTGGCAGACTGTTGCTGGCTGACTGCTGACGGCTACAGACCAGGGCAAACTGCTGCTATCTGACTGTTGACCGATACAGGTTGCCTCAGACTACTGTGTAGCGACGATTGGTATAAAAAGAGGTGCTAGGACTTATAGGGGTAAACGGGGTTGTTGCGACAATTTGGAAGGTCGTCTGGGAGTTGAATTCAACAGTTTGACTTCAGGATTTGATCAAGCTGTTGCGGCCTGACCATCATTGCGGGGCCCTCAGGCGAGTGAAGGTATCAAGGCCCTCTCTTGGGAGTTGAGTTGTCCCTCTCTTGTATCTCGAGCGTCTGAAACCCGTTATCTTTTGCCTTTCTTACTCTAAGTCTAGTCCTGGTCTGAGAGGAAGGCGGCAAGCGGGATTGCAACCCGTAGGACCGCAGCAAGGCCTACGTGGGAGGTTATCCCACCGATTGCGGGAGCTCTGCTGGAACTAAGGAGGGGTTCTGGAGGCAGGGAGCTGAGAGGTAATCACCCATTTCCCTCTATAAACCGAGATTATAGCCCCTATCTGTATTGCCCATTGCATGTTTGACTGAGTATATGGTATGCGGCCCTACTTTGATTTTTTGTCTGACTTTCAAGACTTAATTTCAGATTAAATAAAAGAATGGTTGGACAAGTTCGGTTTTAAACTTTGTTGACTCTGTGAAAGCAGACTGTTTAAAGAGATTGCATCTGGGAAAGGGCAGGTTGGGAAGCAGTCTTGCGTGAGGTTTGACTGGGTTATCAAGGCTGGGAGGTCCCCATAAGTTTGGAGAGACCCAATGCTTTGTTTTATTTTGGATTGTGTGGAGCATCAGACCATTCTATAAGTTTAGGTGGTCTGATTGTTCTAGAGGCTGGGAAGTCCCCATAAGTCTTGGGAGACCTAGTGCTGTGGATTTGTATTGAGAATCAGATGATTCTATAAGTTTAGGTGATCTGGTTGCTCTGACTTGCGAGGGCTGCTTGTGATTGACTTTTTGAGGGGCCAAGTGCGTTCTGTAAGTTCAGGTGCTTTGGTGCCTTGTTTTTTTGGGTTTTCATATGTTTATTAGGTTCTATAAGTTTAGGTGGTCTAGCCCAATGCCACGCACGAATTGGATCAGAGGGAAACAAATCAGGCAGAGAGCCGGACTTTTCTGTAAGTTCAGGTGGTCTGACTCAAAACCCGTATATGTTGGAACCCAATGATATAATTTGGCTATATTTTATTACTATTTTATTTATGAACAAGCTAGTCAGACTATTTTATAAGTTTAGGTAGTCTGACTATAGCTTATCACAAT